CCATGCTTGAGAAGTTCACAAGCGCTAGATATATGTCGATCTAAATAGTGAATTTACATTTACAACAAGAACATAAAAGAAGAACATTGAAAAAAAAAATTAGCACCTAGGTTCAGCAAGCTTAAAAAAATCCGCAGCGAAAGTGTTAAAATGTTTTTTTTACTTGTTGTTGTATTTTTTCTACTTGACCATTTTTACCCACTAACGTCATATGGCGTTATCCGCATATATCCTTGAAACTCTGGTACTGTGCGTAGGACGCCAACAGGCGTCCGAGCCTGATTTTTGTATAAATGAAGAATTACATGCTTTTCACAAAAAAAAACTTTAAAAAAGCATACAGCCCCAAAAACTTCATTTAAAAAAAAACCATGTCCCGCACAGGAGTAGAGTCCTTAATTATTTTACGCAGCGAAAGCGTAAATGTAAGTACTGCAATAACGCCAATAAATCAACTTAGTCAGCCAGCTATGAAAAATTTTAAAAAATGGACATTGCTGGTTTTGGAATTCTATGCCTCCTTTATTTCAACAGCTTAATATGACAATAGGCTCAGGTTAAGAAGAAGAAGATGCATATCATTACAAATAGTATTTTAATTTACAAAGCTATTGTAATCAAAACAGGTTGGTATAGAAAGGGTAGCATAAAGTCATCATCAACCTATTACTCACTATGCTAGTTATAAGGAAATCATGTTATTCTTCGTTAAAATACTCTGAAGTTATCTCTTACTCTTTTGGCTCTGGCTAATAATTGTCCCCTTCTCCCCCGCTGAAGGTCGTGAATCACTTCGGGATTACATCTTTCCCCTAAGTACTAAAACACACGGAGCGGCAGCCGACTCGGCTGCCGAAGCGGTGCATCCTTTATGGCAGTTCTATTGAATGAAACAGACGGTGCGTCAACGCGCGGTTCGTGATGGCGGTGGCAGCGCGTATCCTACCGGCCATCATGCACCGCGCGCGGGTTTACGACTGTAGTCGGCACATCAGTACATGTTTGCTTATGGGACTAAACACACGTAAGCGGTTTTATGGCGGTTTTTGTTATTAACAAGTGACTCGGCGTTGTCAGACCAGTATGGAAACTTTGGACGTTGAGAAATTAATCAATGAGATTCATATTAGACCAGCGATTTGGGATATGCGTTCAGAGGATTATTCCAACAAAATAAAAAAGAAAAGTTCTTGGGAAGAGGTAACCAACGCCTTTGTTGATGAGGGTGCTGCAGTGGAGGAGAAAAGACAAATGTGTAATTACATGAAAACTAAATTTATTTATTAATA